ATCAAAAGTTTGTTTAAAACCTAAGAATTTCTACATGTTGAAGTAGTGTTCACCTCTTTCTGTATTGGCAGCAACTATCATCTTACCAAAGAACAAGATGTTCGTGTTAAGTTCAAGTTACATGAAATGTAATATTTCTTCTGATGGTGTGCTGGCTTACATTAACTGAATTTGTATCCAGTGCTGAATTTGTCAAACTTCAAGGATGCATTAGGGTCTTCACAGACAGAACTGTTCGTTGTCTGGTCCAAATGTGTGTGTCTGTTCCCAACATAACAGGCATGCTCTGGTTTCTTAAATATCTGACAACATAATAGAATGCTCTTGTTTTTATGGCTTGTGTAGACTTGCAGTAAAATAACTTGTGTGCAACTGTTAATGCATAGGAAAGGGACTGACTGAAGGTTTTCCTTTTTCTCATGGCGTCTAGTTATTTGGTAAGTGCAGACGTATAGAAGTCATTGAAGCCATTTTTAGATTCAAAAAGAGCAGAGAAGAGGGGACAGTATCTGTTGTGTACTTTAACTGAAAGTGTAAATTTAATTTTAAAAGGCACTGTCTAATTAAGTAACCTATAAAGTGATTAAACAAGGCAACAGATTTGAAATTAATACTGAGTTTGTTTGACTCTTTCCAGCAATCTTGATACCGCACAAGGAATTTTTCTGCTCTTAAGTTTCTGTTCCCTCCATTAGGGAGGAGGGAGGGAACTGGTTTCTACAGCTCAGTTATTCAGAATTCTGAGGATGTAATTGTCTTAAACATGAAGTTTAAGATACAAAATACAGATGTTTTGCCTGGTTCCCAACATTTGCCAGCCTTTTTATTTTTCCTATCTACTTTAATCTATGCAAGATATATCCTGTTTCTGTTTGTTCTGAATTTTAAAATCTAGATTTCATATACCTAGTGCTTTCCACATCATGAAGACTGTAATCAACTTACTGTCTCTTTCTTTCCTGCTTAAAGCTTCTCCAACTAAGACTTAATCCTTGAAATCTCAATCAGAAATGGGTTGGACTTTGCCCACTTCGTGCTCTTTGTCCTCCTGTCCGATGTCCCACCCCGGCAGGGATATCTTAACAGGCACATAAAGTAGTGATTTTCATTTGAAAAAACATACTCATTGTAACTCTTTACCTTCATAGCCAATCCTGGCAGTCTTGTTCTTGTATGAAGACGTTCCTGATCCTGATCTGGTGGTTCTAATAGCTGTTGTTGCGCATTCTCCTGTATTCATATATGGAGAAAAACTGTTTTTGCCGGACATTCAGGGAAAATGACAGTTGCATGAATTAATTAACATTCCCTAAACAGATTTTTGTTTTGTTTTTAAGGAACTTAGTGACTTAGCCCGTGATCCTCCAGCACAGTGTTCAGCA